AACCTACAGCAACCATGGCCATTTCGGTATCACACAGGACATCAGCATCATCTACTACATTTTGATATTTTGTTGTTTTGATGTTGGAAGCCAGAATAGTAGACACCTTCATAAAATACATGCAGTCCAGAGGGAAGAAGATAAATCCCATGAAAACCCAAGAGGGAGGATCTGCCAACTAAATGAGGTTTCTAGTTCCAGTAGTAGGGTCCAGGTAGGAACATTACCTTCTTAGCAAAGGACAACATGTAAACGTTCCTAGCTTGCTATTGTTGTCTGATGGAGACTGAATCTTCATTATGGGATCCCAGATGACCATGAAACTTGTACTGTTTATTATGAACTTAGTTCTAGATGATTTTTGGTTATACCCAGCAGCATTCTATCATCCAGTAGGAGAGTCGTCTATAGGATAAGCTCAGTTAGACCTGAAGACCCAGGTAAGTTCCATAAGCACATTACTCACTCCCTCTTATGACCACTTTTTCACACCCTGGTATTTTTCTTAACCCACACATGTAGCTGATATCAAATCCCATATAACCAGTTGACTACAGGTTAAAAAAAAATCAAGCCCCTTTGCATATCATTTTAAATAATACACTAACATTTATTGCCATGGCATTGCAACCCCATTTAGACACATCCTTATAAGACAGTACAGAATGGAAAACACTCACAGTGAGACATCCACTAAGCACAACATTTCATTGTCTCTGATCTAGAAGGTGAAAGGTTCGGCCAGATGGTCAGGGACTTAGAAAAAGGAAGACTAGACCAATGGTGACAAGGAAATTTGATTTTATACTGGTAAATAATTTACATCAGTGTATTTAAAACTTGCAGATATATTTATTTTTTTAAAATTCTGAGGAATTGGCTTTAACACTTTTTTCTGCTTTTGTTCTTTTTCGTTTAGTCCTGTACAACAATGCAGCAAATCAAAAAATAATTTCTTTCCACATGATTTGATCTATATTCCTTCGGTCTCATCATGATCCACTCTCTGTTGGTTTAATCTTAGCGTTTACATTTGCATTTCAGAACCATGAATTCTTTAAGGAATTTATAATCACCTTAGTTGTGTTGCCATGTATGGAAGACTTTAATCACACCTGAGATTTTCTTTTATTTTTCCTAAAACACTTTAATACTTCCACCATACTATTTTTTTCTGTCAGTAAAAACAAATCTCTGAATTTCTCTTCATTTAATTTTAATATGATGGTCTTTAAACAGAAAGTGCCCTTGATTTTTGAGGGAAAAAAACTATAATCTTTGTCTTATTTTATTCCCAGGTGGCACAACATCCTGAAGTATTGTTATCTTACAGCTCAGGGAACTGGGTATTCTTGATGGGCAAATGTACTGTAAGTATTCTATCTGACTAGGATGTTCTTTCCCCCAAACAAGGGCTGGATTCTACATTTAGTCTGCGAGTGTTCAGTTCCTTCCTCGGAGCATAATGTTGCTTTCTACTAGGTAACAGAACTTCTTTTTTTTTTTTTTCACTTCATGTGTTTCAAATCTGATCTAATCACCCACAGCTCTTTGAAGTCAAAGGAAGCTCTGAACCCAGAGAAACTCTAATGGCTGAAGCAGAGATTCTCAAAATAAATTAGACGAATGAAAGCAATATTGGAGGAAAAAAAAAGAGGTTGAACCATTTGAATATCTTGCCCCATGGTGTTACCTCTATGGTTGGGAAATTCTTGTAAACAAATCAACAAACTCATGGCTGGTGATAAAAGAGCAAATACACAACAAGAAGGGGGGTTGTACAGTTGACCTTTGTGTGAACCAAGGAGTGAAAGTTCATACATCAATATAACAATTACCCTGTCTTAACTGGTAATGTCAACTGTGAATCAGATAACTAAGAGCCAAAAGGCATAAAACCTAACCTTGAACTTGCCACTTGTTTTAGTTTTCTCATCCTGATAGAAGGATACTCGAAAGATTAGTTATGTTTTGATTTTTACTTTAAAGATTCTCAGCTCCAGGAATATTAACATTCATAGTTATAATGAATATATCATATTATCATGGTACACATCAACCAATTAAAATCACATTATACATTATACTACCAGCCACTGGTTTCAAACACTTTCACTCAACTACTGCTTAACTCTTCGAAATCTCTCCATTGCTCCCACGCAAAGTAAGAACATAGCCCACCACACAAAGACCAAGATTAACTATTTATAGTTAACAAACATGGAGAGGCTACTTTATATTAATCCTGATGCTTGGAAAGAAAGAATCATATGATGCAATTTATATTTATGTTCATGGTATTTTTTCAAACGAGAATAGGAGGCCTAGATTTATAACTAAAATATTAAATATACAAACTCTCCAACATATTTATTAGCATTTACTTTCAAATATTGAGATTATTTAAATGATTCTTAACACAGACATACATCACACGTACCAGGCATAACTTACTCTTTAAAATATGTTTACACAGCTGTAAAATCCTCAGATTAACTATCAACCAGGAAAAGTTAAAATATTGCTGTGAGAATGAAGAGATGGAATTTAAACTGTTAAAAGAAAATTACAAAGGGCTTCCTGTGATATGACTTTGAAACCTAACCCTAACCCAGCTTGAAGCCCTTCTTTTTTTTAAATAGCGTGTTAGTGAATCCAGTCTTGTTTAAATTTTGATTTAGATTTAAGAATAACAAAATGCTTTGCACTTCATATAACAGCTATTTTTGTTTCTAGACAAAAAATAAAGGATTGAAAACCATGAGTCCTGACAGAAGTATATATATGAACAATAATAGCTATGAAGATATTAACCATTTGGTTTCTCATCTTACGGGGATTTTCTCATAAAATAGAGAAAAGATGAATTAGCCTTCTTCGCATTTTTCATATGGTAAGATGCAGGTTATTTTGATTTAAGCTGTATATTATTGGAAGTCAGCTGTGAAATACGTACATGCTGCCAAAGACACAGGAGCCAATTCAGTCAAGCAAATTAGTGGCAACACTAATACATGGCAACTTCTAACTCAAAGCAAATTTGATTTTTTTGAGCATTAAAGCAGAGGTCATAATGGGTATTTTTAAATCTACACTTGCTCAACTAACATAAAGTTGAGTTTTTATACTAAAACATATTTATCAAAATAAGAATAAACTTGCTCTTAAATTAAACAAAATGGTTTAAAGTCAAGGAAGCATTTCAAGTTTAATAGAACATTGTTACAGTTCTACTCATTTTGAAAGCAAATTTTGTTTTGTTTTATAGTTTTAGTATAAAGATTATATAGTATTGAAATAAATGTTTCAAAGGAAAACAACTACCAAAATCATGACCCATAACTATTCTCAATATTCCTTAAAATTGCAGAGATTTGGAGCAAATGTATACACATTTGCACATAGTAGTCATCATGGTAAATATGAAGTTACATAGTACTTAGTTTCTTCTAGTTAATCTTAAATTCTATCCGGGTCTCTTAACTGTCCCTTCTCTTTTATGTAGGGAAGGGAGATAATATTCATTAAGAGTGCTTTTGTGCGATGCTCTGTGGTTGGCAAATACGCATAATTATTAATACAGTTTTATAGACAAGGAGACTTAAGCTCAGACATTTCAGAATAATAAATAGTGGAACCAGAACCCAAGCAAAATGTGATCCACATCAAAGCCTTTGAACTACAGGCTAATACTTTGGGGCCGTCTTGTACTTTACAGTCTTATAATTACAATTCTATTTAGGGATCTTAGCTCCTGTTTAAAAAGCAAAGCTTACAAACCAAAACAAACCAAAAGGAGAAAACTGCCTACTAGCCCCCAGGAGAGTTGTTTATACTTTGTTACTATGAAGGGTCGCAGTGATCTCAACACTGAGGCATTAGGCTATCTTTCATCAGCAATAAGCAATACAAACACAGGTTTCTGGACCAATACAACATTAATGTGATACTGTCAGAGGAGTCTGGGCATGACAATATTTTTTTTCTCTGTTAAGTTCTTTGTAGTAAACTTTCTACACACTATCCCCTCCTACTAGGCATTATGTTTTTTCATCAATAAGCTGAATTAGAGGCCAGTTACATTACAATGGAAACCACAACAGGAAAATAAACTGGTGTTTAAGCTCTGATGCAAAGCATTTTTATAGTCTATGTCTGTGCTACCCTTAGTGAACCAAAATGAGAGAGTACATGACTTGGAAGGAGGATGTCCATGTCAAATCCTTGCTCAGCCACTTACTAACTGCATACTCTTGTGTAGTTCACTTAAAGTCTGGATCTACACAAGGGGAAAAATGACTGCAGTGGTTCCCAAACTTTGCTAAACAAAAGACTTACCTGGAGAGCTTTTTAAAAATTCAAAGGCCCAGGTTGCACCTGTACTGACTAAGTAAAAATGTTCTGTCATGGGAACAAGGCATCGGTATTTTTCAAAGATACTCAGGTGATTGCCATGTGCAGGAAAGTTTGGTAGACACTGACTTTATACCTTTAAACAGTTGTGTCTTAAGATGAAAAAGTAGGAGGAAAGGACTTTGTATACTATATAATACTTCACAGAGTGACATAAAATATATTAATTCCAAACTAAGTACCCATAAAAAACCCTTTGCCGTCGAGTCGATTCTGACTCATAGTGACCCTATAGGACAGAGTAGAACTGTTCCATAGGGTTTCCAAGGAGCAGCTGGTGGATTCAAACTTCCAGTCTTTTGGTTAGCAGCTGTAGCTCTTAACCATTATGGCACCAGGGCTCCAAAATACATTGTTTTAGGAAGCTTGATCTTTTCTCTTGTTCAGATGTTGGTTTTAATAAACATAAAGAAACTATACATAAATAGTCATTTTACTGTTTCTTCCAGTTACTGAATCCATTTAAGAGTTTTTGTTTTTGTTTTTGTAAGCTGTCTTCAACATTATTTTAACAATTTTTTCTTCCCGCTTTTAAAAATCAAAACTCATCCACCTTGTTTTCATTGTAAATATCAAAACCACACTTAGTGCTCGCTTCCACAGCACATATACTAAAATTGGAACGATACAGAGAAGATTAGCATGACCCCTGTGCAAGGATGACATACGAATTTGTCAAGTGTTCCACATTTTTGAGTAGCCGGGGCTGGGGCCTGGGGACCATAGTTTCGGGTCCATATAGGTCAATTGGCATAACAAAGTTTATTAAGAAAATGTTCTGCATCCCACTTTGGTGAGTGGCATCTGAGGTCTTAAAAGCTCATGAGCAGCCATCTAAGATACATCACTTGGTCCCATCCCACTTGGAGCAAAGGAGAATGAAGAAAACCAAAGACACAAGGAAAATATTAGCCCAAGGGACTAAAGGACCACATGAACCAGAGACTCCACCAGCCTGAGACAAGAAGAACTAGATGGTACCTGGCTACCACCAATGACTGCCCTGACAGGGAACACAATAGAGAGTCCCAGATGGAGTGGGAAAAAAGTTTGGAGCAGAACTCAAATTCACTTAAAAAGACCAGACTTAATGGTCTGCCAGAGACTGGAGGAACCTGTGAAACTATGGCCCCTGAATGCTCTGTTAACCCAGAAATGAAACCATTTCTGAAGCCCACTCTTCAGACAAAGATTAGATAGGACTATAAAACAAAAAATAATATATGTGAGGAGAATGCTTCTTAGTTCAATCAGATACACAAGACCAAATGGGCAGCTCCCATCCAGAGGCAGGATGAGAAGGCAGGAAGGGACAGGAACTGGTCAAATGGACACAGGGAACCTGGGCTGGAAAGGGGGAGTGTGCTGTCACACTGTGGGGATTGCAACTAATGTCACACAACAATATGTGTATAAATGTTTGTATGAGAAATTAACTTGAGCTGTAAACTTTCATCTAAAGCACAATAAAAAAATAAAATGATATAGATAAAAAACATACTTCTAGTGTGTGTTTATAAAGAATAATCATATTTGTTCACAAATTTTCTAATTAAATTGTCATAACCAAGAAAAGATACTAGAATTAATGTGCAGAAAGGAAATTTGAGCAGTCAGAAATAAAATATTGTGCCCAAAGCTATTTCATTTAGTGTTACTACTTACTTAAAACAAACAAAGAATTATGCACTAGACATTTTGGTCCAATATTCTGTCATGATAATGTTTTTTTTAAAAACAAAAATCTATTCAGGTAATCCTTCTTGATGAGATTTTGTTCATTGCCTGATGATACAAGTCATTTCTCTGCCAAGTTTTTAATCAATACATCAGATTCAGCCAGTTTATATACAGTACTTTTGTTGTATGAATACCATCAATTTCCATAGCCTTTTTTTAAATTAGAGTTACCCAAAGAAGTATGTAATTTATGTAATTGGAGTACAAATAACATGTTACCTTAAAAAGCACCTTCTGTGCTTTTGTTGTTAATATAGACCATGATGCATTTGTTCACAACAAAATCCTCAAATTAAACTCAATTCACACACAACTACAAATCTAATCTACCTCCTAACAGTGATTTTTGCCTTGGTATCCTTTACCTTTGCGGGCTTGTGAGCTTCCATGCTCTCTTTGAATTTCTCCTGCACAGTTTCTGCAAGCTGACAGAGTAAGGCACCATTATCTAACTTCTCCATAAAAGTTTCTGCCGTAATCTCTTTCCCTGCAATATCAAAGAGAACCAATATAAAAGCTTAGAGATTTTCCAACATAAAAGTCAGATTCACGCTGTATTTGACAACACTGCTATCATTAAAATTTCAATGCCAGCCAAGTTACGTATCTCAGACAGGAACTTACCAAGGAAGTATACTTTCTTTGGAATTTTGTATTTTCTTTTGTTAGCAAGGAGAATTTTCAACATTCTATATTTTCATAATATAGTTCTAGCTGAATAAAAGTTTTATTTCACATAAGCCTTTCATAAAGGTGGCAAAATGATGTCCTGTGTGAAAAGAGTCCCACCATTTAGCAGTCAGGGGAAATGAAAACTAACCAGTCAATGAAAGAACCAACATTATCAATGATTGTACAATTTGGCCTCTGTGGTTTGTTCAATTCTTAACCTCAGAGGGCCCTCGATAGACTTTGGCTACTGAGGCAAGGCATAAAGTAGAACTGTACCTTTTTTTTTTTCTTCAGGTGTATGCCTTTAATTAAAAGACGGCCATGGATCTCTTTTCTTTAATTTAAAATAATAGATATGATATATTAAAGATCATTCACCACTGGCAACTTTAATAGCATGGCCAATGCATAAAGTTACGTCTCTAAATTCTATTGAATTGGTTTCCTAGATTAAGGTAATACAAGTAAAAGTAATGCACATGATAAAGACTCCATAGAAAACACTAGCTCTCTAACCATTCTCCTTCCTACTGTACTCCTCGAAATGTAGAATTCTCAGGTTCAGATCTCTGCCCTTCTCAAAGCTTCAAACACTGCCCTTAGGAACATGATTCACAATTCTTCATCCCTGACTTCTAACCTGTTCCCAGGTAACAAGTTATTTTCTTTCTTTCTTATATGCCCCTCCACCAACTTAATTTTTTCTCTCTCTTTCCCTCCCTCCCTTCCTTCTTTCTTTCTCTCTCTCATAACAGCTTTATTAAAATATCATTCACATACCATACAATTCACCCATTTAAAGTGTATAATTCAATGAGTTTTAGTATATTCCCAGAGTTGTGCAACCATCACCACAGTCAATTTTATAACATTTTAATCACCTCAGAAAGAAATCCCATACCCTTTAACCATCACCTTAGCCCTCATACCCCCTAGCCCTAGACAACCACTAATTTCTTTCTTATATGTTCCCTAAAATTCATGTCTTCAAAAGCTCTTTCTTTTTCCTGGTTTCCCTAGTTATTTAAGTTTCAGAACATTTTATTTGCTTATTTTAATTTCCTACAAACCTATACGTCCTGTAGATTCAGGCTTCCTTCTGTTTCGGGTGCCGTAATCTGAATAAAAATCTTCATGATCTGATAACTAAACATCTAGCAACAAGAACAATGGGAATTCCCTGTGTCCTCACTTCTCTCTCCAAAACATATCACACTCACTGCTAAAATTAGTATTCCTAAACACTATTCTCAGGAAACCCTGGTGGTGTAGTGGTTAAGTGCTATGGCTGCTAACCCAAATATCCACAGCTTGAATCTACCAGGCGGTCCTTGGAAACAGTATGGGGCAGTTCTACTCTGTCCTATAGGGTTGCTATGAGTCAGAATTGACTCGATGGCAATGAGTTTTTAAACACTATTCTCAAGGAACCCTAGTTGCACAGTGGTTAAAGCACTCTGCTGCCATCCAAAAGGTTAGCGGTTGGAACCTACCAGCCCCTCCATGGTAGAAAGATGTGGCAGTCTGCTTCCATAAAGATCACAGCCTTGGAAACCCTATGGGGTAGTTCTACTCTGTCCTATAGCGTCATTGTAAGTAGAAATCGATTTGATAGCGGTGGGTGGGAAACACTGCCCTCACTGGGTCATCCTCCACACAGAAGCCTTTAAAGCAAAGTCACTAATCTTCCTCTACCTAAAAGATGAAATCTATCCACTTTAATCCCCAAAACCTCCCCCATATACCTCTAATTTACCTTATACCTCTAATTTACCTTTCAATATAACTTCCCCACATGACTCTGCTCCTTGGTCTGCACCCTGCCTTCCAGGTTCCTCTAGCAGATCTTATCGTTTCTCCCGCCATGCCTTTGTTTCTGTCATGTTCTCTGCCTGCAATGCCCTCCTACCTCCCACCTGCCTGACCAAGTTTTACCTTTTTTTTTTTTTTTTTAACCAGAGTTCCAGAAATGAATTCCTCTAGTCCACATTGGTCTCTTCTCTGTACAGTTGTACTCATGGGTATCACTCACTTTGGCACCTATCAAACATTTTCTTCTATGGCTGGTAACATGTTTTGAATCAAGTTCTTTTCTTCCCAAATATAAACTATTTGAGGTATATATATATATTTCTATAATATATTCTACAGAGACAAGCATGGTATTTCACATAGTAAATGTGTTCAGCAGATACTGAAATTAACAAATTAAGAAATAAACTACTGGGAAACTTTGAGATGATGGCAGATATCATATTTTTGGAAAAGTAGTTAAGTTCAAAGCAAAAAATAAACACAGAAGAAAAGGAGGTATTTTAAAGTTTTATACTGACACGCTCAGGTTCAATGACTAGTTATTTTCTATCTTAAGAAAAATATGCAAGCAGCTCAATTCCATGACCTCTTATATGGAACCCAACTGAAACAACAAACTACTTGCTTAAAGGTAAACTTGTAATATCTAATATATTTAGATTTTAAGAAACATCTGTTTGAAATGATTCTTTTTTCTAGTTTGGAGGAAAGGGTAGGTAAAGAGGGAAAAAGAATTATTATTTCGTGTGTGTGTGTTTTTTTTTCCCCCTACTGGATATGTCACATTTTAGCCCCCAGTTAGGATAATGACTTCTGCAGGTGGCAAAATATTAGTAGCTCTAAGTACTCACTACAGAGGGAGCCTATGCAGAACTACTATTATTTCAAAATTGTATGCAGCTCAGCTCAATTTAGGAATAAAATAATAGTCTCAAGGTACAAAAAGCCAGTATAACAAAATTTGTATTTTATACTCACCATATTGCCCCACATTTCTGAACAATAATAAGAAAGATATTTTACAAATAGTTATGAAAAATAAACATTAGAAATTACTTTGAAAAATTACTGCTTTATTTAAATGTGCTTAAATTTCAAGGTGAAGAAGGTAAACTTTACACTAAATTATTGAATGATTCCTTTATAAATTACTAAGAATATCTACACATGGAAGAAGTCTTAGGTATTCATATTTCATTAAGTTCCATGGTAATTTAAAAATTTCATTCATAATGTTAAGTGACAAAATTATTACAATAAACTCAAAAGAATTATACATTATAAAAAAAAATTAGCTTACATTAAAAATTCACTAGCAGTTTCCCAAAAGGTATGCTTTTTACTTTTTATACATTATACCTGAAGATTTTTAGTTATCCTACTTTTTATGAATACTTGAAGGAAGAATTTTATACTGAACATCTGTATCTAATGAAAAATATATTAGGTGTCAACTTTCAATGCTATATATTTTATAGCTCCAAAAGGTGGGATTTTTTTTGGCTAATACAGACACGGTTACATACTTTATGACTGAAATGTACTGTTTCAAATGAAGAAAAATGCAAGACAGAATTTTTAACAACTCCTCATATGTAATGTATTTTCCATCCAAAGATTAAGAATCACAAAGTATACATTTTAAATATACTGCATAATTGTAAGAAACTAGTTATACCTACTCCTCACTTATCCACTATCAAGTTATTTGACATTTTGCATTTACAACAATAGTAAAAAATCTTTATCCAATTATTTTGCACATTAACGATGATGTCTGGCAGTAATGAAAGCCAGGGTGCAAGATGAGAGTAACACTGGCTGTGATGGTTAAGGTTATGTGTCGGCGTGGCTGGGTCATGATTCTCAGTGGTTTGGCAGTTATGTAATGATGTAATTTGGCAGTTGTGAAATGATGTAGTCATCCTCCATTTGGTGATCTGATGTGGTCATCCTCCATTTTTGTACAATGCTGATTTTCACATAACGACCTGGTCTTTAGAACCTACCCATGTTGATAACTGAGGAGTGAGTGTATAGTCCTTATATGGAATGATATACTACTTCACTCTTTATTGCATTGATATTGTCAATAGTTATTTAAAAAACAAAAACAAAATATACGAATATTTGAATTTAATCATAAGAAATTCTTAAGAACAGATTGTGAAAAAATAATTACAATTTCTCAAAAATAAGCTATACAAAGCTAATATCTCTGATAAGTAGAATCAAACCTTTTTTAAACTAAATTGTATAGCTATGTTGACATGTCAGGTTATAAATACTGAGGCAGTGGGATTCTGGCAACAGAGAATCATTCCTTCTCCAACCCCATTCTTTCCATGTTGTTAGTACATTAGGGAAAGAAAGGGCAGTAAATAGGTATAATTAAACCATCTTGATGTACCAACCCACACTAGGTTGTAAAGACTATTTGCTTGAAGATTAGTCTAAAATATCCTAGTCTAGAAGTAATGTCTTTCTTTCCTGAGTTCATAATTGTGGACTTTGATCTTCACACCATCAATTTATTTACCATTGACAGCTTTCCAGTAGACAAAGATCAGGGTGTTTGATTAAATATTGTGGTTAACCACTTCCTCTTAAAATACTAGAGCACTATGACATGGAGTCACCATGAGTCAGGTTCGACTTGACCGTAACAACAACAATATGAAATAAACATCTGCCTGAAATTTTTGTCAGGTAACCAAAATCAACATGCATGATTGTATATGCTATTGCATTCCTCCCAGAAATGTTTGTTTGCCATGATCTCCATAAATATTAAGTATTAATCTGTAAAGTGTTTCAGACTGGAGCCACCTGGATAAAAGGATTCATTTCATCCTCTATATTGCTGAGGGAAAATGTTGTCCACCCAATAAACTAGCATTACTAAACTCAGGTTCCTAAAACATGATAGTATCTAAGAATAATATTTAACATATGCGTTCTTATTACGTGTTAGACACTGTTGTGTGCACTTTACATCTATTAATATATTTGATCTCACAAACTTGTGAGGTGGATGCTGCTATTAAATCCATTTTACAGATGATAAAACTGAGGTGTGCAGATTTAGTAACTTGTCGAAAGTCACACAGTTAATACCTAAAGGAATTTGGCTTTTTAACTCAGGAAGGCTAGGTTCAGAGTCTATGCTTTTAGCCACCATGCTTGACTATGTCAATAAATATTAATGAATACATGAATGACTATTTCCCCATAACTATGCATTCTCCCTAATACACTTGTCTTTTTTTCTGTAGGAACTTTACAGAAAGTCCTTCAGGAAAAGAACTACTTGAGGCTGAGGACAGTGGTGCTAAAAAATGAATAGAAGTCCACTTTCTAGATTGGAGAATGGCTGAGAATGTCACTCAGGTGTGTTCTGATATTTGGCCTGATTCACTGGAGAAGAAAGCTGGCATGTTTTTTTAATCTCTAAAGGTGATTCAACTTCTGCCCCTGTCCCCACTGCACCTCTCAATTCCAATATAGCTTCCTATCTGGAGAACTGGAAGCAAACCATTTGCTATCTTAGCCTAGACTTTTTTGGTATTTTGAAACTAAAATTTGAAGATTGTGAGATAGGCAATGATTCATTATATCTATTAAACCCCAGGTCAGCACCTACTTCACACTGATTCACCTGTGGTCTACCTTCCGTTTGTATTAAGAAAAGACAAAACTGCTTGTTTTGGAAAAGTCTTGGTAAAATATTAGGCATTAACTGCTCTGAAAGGTGTCAACTTGTGGACATGAACCTGATCCTTTAGACTTTTGAACTACCACAAGATGCCACTGTTTCTAAGAAATTTTTATTGACCATTATAAGAATATGAGAACTCGGTAGGATAAGTATCTGCTAAAAGGGCTTTAAGAAAAAAGACAAGAAAGCTGTCCCAAGCTCATTATACAGCAGTTGTATTTTACTGCAGCAATTTCAACAAACAGATTGCTTTGTTGGAGTTAACTTTTCATGCTTAACGTTTAAATGCTGAAATTATGTTATTTTTAGAAATAATTGAAAAATTGGAAATATTATGTGTTGAGCAATTGAATTTTCTTTAACCTCCATTTAAGAAGGTCAGAGAAATGCAAATCACCATGACATCAACTGTCACATTACAATGTATTGTCTACATATAAGTAAAATCAAGTCCACGTAACTTGATTTGCAATAAACAAAACCCGTTGCCGTCAAGTCGATTCCAACTCACAGTGGTCCTACAGGACAGAGTACAACTGCCCCGCAGGGTTTCCAAGGAGCACCTGGTGGATTCCAACTGCAGCCCTTTTGTTTGGCAGCCATAGTTCTTAACCACTATTCCACCAGGCTTTTCTGATTTGTAATACATCTTATGATATACTCAAAGTCCACTTGATGTCTATTATTCATCTATTTCATATGAACTCAATAAAATACAAGGTGACTCATTCTTATTTCAAGATTCCTTTAGAATCCCTTTCCTGAAAAAATTTCACAAGCCATCAAGTTGCATTTGTATAACCAACTACCAGCATTAAAAAAAAAAAAATTCATCTTATTCTTCAAAAGAAAATTCATTCATTTATGTAAATCATCTTCTCCTTGTTTATGCATATTGATGACCTCAACTGCCCCAAAATTGGGTTTCTTGGACACTTCGACTTTTGGATCTGGAAAGGACATTAGAGATCATCTACTCCAACCTTTTCTTTTTATGGTTGAGGACACTGAGCCCAGAAAAGATAGTTGAGTGACTTTAGGCAAGTTTCCTACCTGGCAGAGCCAAGACCAGAAGCCAGGTCTCCTGATGCCCAGTTAGGAGCCAGGTCTCCTGACTTTTAATCCAAGGATCTTTCCATTACACACTGACTCTATTCTTTGAGGCTATCTTGGGCTTCTCACACTGATCAAGCTGTTTTGCAAATGATCACATTCACCAAATAAAATGCCTTTGACGACAAATCATGAGACCTTGGAGCATGGCTGTATAATCTGGCTCGATTCTAATTAATTATGCTATTCCCCTCCCTAGAACATTTCAATGGCTTCTCATTGATAATAATGTAAAGTATAAGCTCTTTAACATGGTCGTAATGCCATATATGCTCTGGTCTCAGCAGGTCTCATGAAACTCTCCCCCTTTCTGTGTTGTTGACATTAGTCATCATTCAGTTCTCCCAACACACCAACTCTGTGTCCTACCTCAGCACGTTGTCCCCTCCACCCAGAAGCTCTTCTCCCATGATTTGTCTGTCTAGCTCTTAACTATACTTTATATCTAAGTTTAAATATAAGTCTTCTTTAGGAGAATTTCCTCAAGCCCTCTGATCACTTTGTCCTACCTCACCATCAGTCTTACATTCTTATTGCAACTTTTAACTTTTAGTGTCTATAACAAGTGTAATTAGTGAATTTTGTATTCAATTACTTACTTAATGTGTTTCTGTGCCAATCTAGTTCAAGGTACATGAGAACAAGTACTATGTCTCTTCTCAAGCACCACTCTACCTTCTAGTGCCTAGTAGACTGTGTCTGGAGCACAATAATCACAATCACTTTATTGATTGATTACTATGTGCCAGATCTTGTTTTAAAGGTAATGATCTCATTTAAAATGCAAATAATCCTATGAGGTTAGTACTATTATTACACTTATTTTCCATATGAGGAAACTGAGGCACAGTACAGCAGAACAGGACTGCCTCATAGTGTTTCTAAGGAGTGGCTGGTAGGTAGATGAGAACTGCCAACCTTTTGGTTAGCAGCTGAACTCTTAACCACTGTGCCACCAGGGTCTTGCTAGGTCTTTTGCATTTCTGCTCTGACTCACCCCTTGTCGAATGCCCTTGTGAAGGGTACAACCTGCACACCCAAATATGGTAGCCCTGGTTAGACTACAAAAGAGTTGCTCAAATAGTGTACACACAGTGGAAAAAAGGGAAACATCTAATCATAGGATAAAGGGTTAACAAAACAATTGAAGAAAAATACAAAAGCCATGCACAAATCCCAAGCCATGGTGAGCAAGGAAAACCTTGCTAAAATTTCAGATGGACAGGGTGCTTCTTCCTGAACGATTCAGGATAACACTTGCCTTAAAGGGTTCTTTAAATAATAAAATAATGTTGGGGAAAACCCTTCTGCAAGTGATCAATACCATACAAATTGTATGCTTAGTCAATATTCAGTCTCACATCTTATCAACTCTATTAGCGTTCTTTTCCTTAGGTCTCAAATCAATTTTATTCTCTGTGAAAAACTATTACTAGAAATAGCATTGCTATACACAATGGTCCCTTAAATGTATGATTCCATTATGCACATGGTGGATATTTTATCCTATGAATATGTCAACACAACAGAAACAAAAGAGGCATCCTTAGCATGAGGCAGCATTTTTTTCTCAACAACACTTTTGGAAGAGAACTTAAAAACAAAAGTGAACTGAAAAGAAAAATTTTAGCTCAAGGTTGGGTGACACTAGTCAGCCCACTGGAACAAAAGATAGATATTTTTGTTCCCAAGTTTGGGTATTCAGCAGTTTTAGAAGGTGTGCTATAAAGTAGGGTGAAGAAATCTATCTTTAGAAGCCAGATTTCACAAAAAGACTGTAGCCTGTATGCAATCTCAAAAGAATAGGTCAAACTGGTCAACTGCATGGAAGAAATTTAAATGAAAATCAGATGAGCATATAGATAAACAAATTGACCACATATTTCCTCATTTCAATGCATGTCGCTGGAATTACTAAGCACAGTTAATGTGAAGGACACTGGAAAATTCATTTACATTTATACATGCTTCAGGTTTCCCAGATGAAAAATCCAAATAATGAAAGTCTTTCTTTCCAAGGTGCTGTCACATGCTCAGGTAAAGGACACTATAGGAGAAAAAAAGCTGTTATCTTTGCTCACAAAATGCGATCTTATAACCTTACCTAATAGATTGGTTAACCACAAGGCCAGATCTTCTTTCATCGGCAGCAAATTAGCTTCATGTCTGCTGGCCAGCCATTGGCTATACTGATGCATATCAGAGAGGCCAGGTCCACTGCGTACCTTTGGGCTCAGAGCAGTGCACATTATTTATCCACTTGTAATACCTGTTTTGGAAACAAAAGAGCAATTGCTTTTTATACGGACTTGTCTTGTTAAAATCTTGCACCAATGACCCAGTAATGAACCAGATCCATGGATGTTTTGATGACAGGTCAGGTTATTAATTATTAAACCCCATGAAACTCTATTTGCTTTATCTGTTCTAGCCCTCACAAGTTTAGCCAACCAGTTGGTGGGAAACAATAGCAATCAAAGGTCAAACAGAAGATCAAACAGTAAGCTCTGAGCTTGTGTAAAACATTATATTTGGAAAAAATCACCTTCCAAGGCAAGACATTCCAATTCATCAAACACAATTATAAGTGGTAGAATTAAATATTTAGTGTCCAATTTGCAAACTATCATTGTTTGGGTTAATTTTTAAAACCACAGTTTTTCATAGAATTTTAGTGCTGGCAATGACAGTAAGCCATCTGGTCTTCTGCCTATTGCATGGCTTATAGTAAACACGTGGTCATTACTAAGACTATTGCCTATGAGGATAATTGCAGCACTTGGTTCTTTGCACATGGCCAAGCAATCATGGACTCACAATTTAGTGAACTGGTTGGGAGGCAGGAGAGGAGATTAATTCAGAGTCCCTACAACACTTCTCTCATTTTTATAAACAATGAATATAAGAACCAGAGAGGATAAGTGACTTAGCCAAGATCACACAGGTAGATCATGGCAGAGTCAGGCTTGACCCTGGCTCTTCTATTCCAAGACTACTACTATTTCTGGATGATACATTTTTACAAAATAGATTCATCAATAATCCATTTGGATAACTCAAAAATTACACCTGAGCGGGCTGTGGGGACCATGGTCTCGGGGAACATCTAGCTCAGTTGGCATAACACAGTTTATAAAGACAATGTTCTACGTTCTACCTTGGTGAGTAGTGTCTGGGGTCTTAAAAGCCTGTGAGCAGCCATCTAAGATACTCCACTGGTCTCATCCCTTCGGGAGCAAGGGAGAATGAAGAGAACAGGATACAAGGAAAAGATTAGTCTGAAGGACTAATGGACCACAGCTACCAAGGCCTCCACCGGACTGAGTCCGGTACAGCTAGATGGTACCCGGCTACCACCACTGACTGCTCTGATCGGGATCACAACAGAGGGTTCTGGACAGAGCTGGAAAAGGATGTAGAACAAAATTCTAACTCACAAAAAAAAGACGAGATTTCCTGGCCTAAAGGAGACTGGAGAAACCCCGAGAGTATGGCCCCCAGACACCCTTTTAGCTCAGTGGTGAAGTCATTTCCGAGGTTCACCGTTCAGGCAGGGAGTGGACAGCCCCATAAAACCAAATGGGACTAATGAGGCACAGCAGTCCAGGGACAAGGGCCAGAAGGCAGAAGGGGACAGGAAAGCTGGTGATAGGGAACCCAAGGTTGAGTAAGGATAGTATTGATCTGTTGTGAGGTTGTTAACCATTGTCATAGGGCAACTTGTGTACTGTTTAATGAGAAACTACTTTGTTCTGTAAGCCTTCATCTCAAGTGAGAATAGCAGCACAATGGGAAGAGCGTAGTCGATGTCACTGAACTGTGCATGTAGAAATTTTTGAAATGGTATATCCTTGGCTATGTGTATTTTCACCAAAAAAAAAAAAGGTTGAGAAGGGAGAGGGTTGACATGTTGTGGGGTTGTTAACCAATGTCATAAAACAATATGTGTACTCCTGTTTCATGAGAAACTATTTGTTCTGTAAACCTTCACCTGAAGTATAATAAAAAAAAAAAAAATTACACCTGAATTCTAAAAAATATTGACACACATTCTCTTTCTGACATGCTGTGTGTGCTCTTTATTTTTTGGCAACTTCCTACTTCATCTGTTTTACATATTTGGTTTTGTTTGCAATCATCTTTAGAAAGGAAGTAATTAAGTAGCTTACATTTATAAAACAAGAGATGATTTAATTAACCTGATCACCTTAAGAGTAGCCACAACACCTTATACGGGTTGTAGGAAAGGTATTTGAATATATAGTTGGCCTTGCACGTAGTCTTTTTGCATAGGTTCTAAAGCCACAAAAGTAATACCGAAGCAGCTAAGGTAACAAACTCAGAATACATTTGACAGCACGTAGGATTCCACTCTATAAAAATAGTGTAAATGAAATAACCCAATGCATTATGACTGAATAAAAATGAAAATTAGGTATTTCTAACTAGGAAGAAATGAGATTTATATACCATGAAGTTTTCAGCTATATTTCAATGTCTATAGTATGTTAAAGTTATCAATATCTAAGTTCTGTACCCTCTTGTAGGTTTTATATTCCTTTCCAGATTAACTCAAACTCTAACTCACTTAGCATAAGCTAATTTTGGTCTTTTAGAGACTGATTTTGGAAAAAAAAAAAAAAATAAGACATCAGAAATACTTCAAAAAATGCAAAATATGACTGTCTTGCAAACATTTTTCTGTAGCATTAGAAAAAACTGCTGGGAGTATGTGTAAATAGCTAAAAGGTGTCATAAATATACTATTTAAAAGGAAAGACAGTTTCATTTTCAATGTAACTATTATTCAGAGTAATTTTTTTAAGATTTACCACAAATTTCATTTGTGAAACATTCTCTATAAATCTGTATGTATCTAAATATCTACACTGAATTATGTAAATATTTTTATTTTCCTTAAAGGGGACAAATTCCCACTTTTTCCTACTTTTTTGCTGCCAAACCACATAGTTGGTGAAATGTTTTTTAATACACCTTGTCATGTGTTACTAAATTCTCAGTATAGAAATCACAACATTGCCTTTGTCTATTCTTTTGCAGTTAATAATGACATTGTTCATATAAAGTACTAAAATTGTCCCCAAACTATGTGATTAAATACTAAAATCTAAAACATTTTTGCCCCAGTCTTTTTAAAAATATTTCTAGTTCCAGGAAAACATACAACCTCTCTGTAGCTGGTTTGGATTTCTATAAGCTAGTTAGCCTTAGAAACAAATATTTAAGTAATAACACATTTAAGCACATGATTCATACATTTAAATAGCTAATTTAAATCTTAAAAGGGTTACCTCTAAAATGCTTTTCCTCTCAAGACACAATCTCTCCCACTACTTTCCTGAAAGTGAGATGCGGTAGTTCAGTAACTTTACCTACACCCTATTATGTGCTCTGCAGTTTCCATTTAAGCATCAGAGTCCTATTCTGCTCTGTAAAAGCAAGAAGACACCTCAGATTCTTAAGCTCATTGTCCAGCAAAGAATCCATCAAGGGATAGTTTACAGTAAACCTAATGGCATGTAACAGTTTCAGTGAGCCAGGATACAATCCTTCCCCTTAATACTTTTAAACAGTGAAGTTTTTATTTTCCTTGACAGTGGCACATTTATTTCTCATGTAGTCTGTCCCGTGTTTTGCCAGAAATGTAATTCAAACTACCTTCTAATGTTTACAGATGATCATTAAGTAAAAACAATAATAATGAAGCAGTTTTCATTTTGCTACTTTATAATCATTTTGTTGTTGTTGTATAGAGTTACAGCTTCTAAGGAGGCAAAGCTTAGTGGGTAATTAAGATGCAATAGAAGGTAAACAATTATATTTGTACCAAATATGTAGAAATCTAAAGTCACTGTCATAATAAGTGACTCTCTTATTTAAATTTCTTCTAAGAGAATTATGATTGTCTATCCAACTGCTCCTGATGCTTTTTTCATATTTCAAATTACATCAGATTTAGCATGACTTAGTGGTTTAGCTGAAAGCCATTATATGGAGGTCTTGGATTTAGATTTGGTGGAGACGTAAACAGAAAACATGGAAACAGATCCAGTAAGCAGGATCAAAATTTGGAGTTTGGAGGAATTTACCCCATTGTGAAGTAGTTTCCAACTCAAATGCTTAAAATGTGTTGAAGAAAGGTCAAATAAATTTGTATTACCCAGATAAAAAGATCACTATAGAACTGTACACTTTTTAGAAGAGCTTGGCTGCTAACCAAAAGGTCAGCAGTTGGTATCTACCAGCTGCTCCTTGGAAACCCTATAGGGCAGTTCTACTCTATCCTATAGTGTCACTAGGGGTCGGAAATGACTTGAAGGCAATCGGTTTGGTTTGCTTTGTTTTATTTGTTTGTTTGTTTTTTGGTTATTGTCGTTAGTTGCCCTCCAATCATTTCTGACTCATGGAGAGCCCGCGTGCTAACAATGTTTAATCAGTGTAGATGAGTTTAATCAGTGCACAAAGCACAAATTACAACAAAGAGTTCATTTCTGATCTTTTGCGTCTGCTCAAAAGTTTTCAAAAGCAAAACGGATGCCAAGCGGTAGGTTTTAAAGATGGGAAGACACTATAAATGAAAGATCAAAAATCAACTAGACTTAAAGAAGAACTAGATTATAGAGAAAGAAAAATATGTTTGTATAATAAATATATAAACAATGAAAGGTGTTGCCAATAAGATTTATAGAATCTAAACACTTAAAAATAAGTAACTTCGGTAGGTGCTAAGGAAAGCCAATCCCTTTGGAAAGGAGTGGAAGGGCTACAATGCTTTTAAGACTGTTTGAAGGTATAGTTCTTCCAAGCTTTATGGGTCTATCTAAAAGCAGATAGCTCAACACTATGAGTTGGAATTCAGAAAAATAAAATTTAAAGGGAAAAAAACATGCAGAAACTTAATAGAGAATTCTTCAAAGAATGTGTGTGTATTTTTTTCCCCTTTCTTTCCATAGTAAAAGTGATTCTGGAATAACGATTATGAATATGATGAGACTTGAACTAACCCAGAGGACGGAGAAAAAAATTACTGACTCCATAAGTAAAATATCACATGTTTAAAGACTCTGTCTAGTCTACTGTTGCTCCAGAATCTCTGGTGAAGACATCTCAGTTTTGACTCTGAAGAAAAAGTATTCTTGTCTGCCACCTAGAGGTGTGCTTCGATTAGAAACAAGATGTCTTCGGGTCTATCTCTAGACATGGCTGTGTTAGAGAAAATGTATTCCAGTATTAGAAAATAAATTGGAGAGAAAGAAAAATAAGAATGAAATTATAAGCATTATATCACTAAAATATGTTATGATTAAGAAGATTATGAATAGGATATTGGAATTAGACTCCGAAATCTTAGGGTCAAATACCGGCTCACTACCTAACCATTTCGTAGCTGTTTTATCCTGATTCTACGACTTTTTATCCTTGCGCCTGTTTCCCAGCATGTATAATGAAGGCTAACAGCGCAAAAATAATTGTGAGGGTTAAATGTTTATGCCAGTGCTTGGCATATATTTCATACTCTACAAACACTAACTAACTATAAATCATCACATAGAAAATGTGCCAAAATAAAATTTCCATTGACTTACTCAAAATAGAAAAACAATTCTGCATCAAGATAGCAATGTTCTTTAGAACTCTAAGTCATTCAGAAAAGACCAAGGACAAGGGGAGAAGTGAATACAGATAAAGTATTGATGAAATAAAACCGTAGATAATGGAAAATACAAAGTTTTTTTTTTATATACTAAGAAGGACAATGCCCCCAAGATGATGAATGAAATGTTGAGTTCTAAAATTAGTTGTTTGCATGTGTTTTTCTTTTTAATTTTTGTAATAAATTATACTGTATTCTTGACACCAGTTAAAGAATATTAAGCTATTAGAATAACAGAAGATATTACCTCCTCCCCCCATAAGACTCCCTAAACCTGTTGCCGTAGAGTCAATTCCGACTCATTGCAACCCTATAGGACAGAGTAGAACTGCCCCATAGGGTTCCCAAAGAGCTGCTAGTGGATTCAAACTGCCAACTTCTTGGTTAGCAGCCAAACTCTTAACCACCACATCACCAGGGCTCCTAAAATTGCCCTGGAGTCAATTCCGACCCATAGCGACCCTAGAAGGCAGAGACTCTGTAGCTGTGGTAATTTATAACAATGCGTCCTAATTAACTCACAGCCAAGGATCCCGTCCCTGGAGGCAACCTATGCTCGCATCTGTAGCACTGACGTTGACATCACTTCCACCTGGTCCGTTGTTGTAGGTAACTTCAAAGTTACCAGAGTGAAACAAGGAAGAAATAAAGTTCATGTGACGCGTAGGTTAATAACACTATATTTGAACATTAAAAACAAACAAACAAAAAACACCCAAAACTGGACACCCCTCTGATATCTGGAAGAAGAACAGGCCAATGCCACCTTTCAGGCTAGACTCAAAGAACAACCAGCCACTGACAGTTCTAGATGCCTCTTTTGCCATTTTGAATTATTTCCTCTTACATGATTTTTTTTGGCTAGCCAATAATATTTTCACAGAAGTACATATTCTAACCCAATACCATGAATGCAAAATCTTAATCTAAGGGTCTAATCAGAAAACAAAGTCTACAGTTTAATCAGGAAGGTAACTTCAGATCTGATGAATAGACCTCCATTTCTGGCTAGGGGAGCAACTTATCCATAAATAAAAGTAACCAAACGTATAAGCAAAATAACACTCATTACTAGTTTATCTAATTATATAACAAAATCTTTAAACTCAAAGGGACCTTTGAATATTTATGTAGTCAAATTCCCAGTTATTAATAAGGGACTGGAGGTTTAAAATATGCTTTGCCCAAAGAAACAAGGCTATTCAGCCACACAGTCATTAGAAGTATCCTACTCAACACTCCTGGTGTGCAAGGGTATCCCTTTCTATCCTAGAGTCCCATGATGATTTGTCTTGAATTAAATGATGGTATACCTGCAATAATAATTCCTTCTCAAGGCATAACAAAAGAAAAAAAAACTTAGAGTGGGAATTGATTTCTTGTATTTTCATGGCATAAGAGATGGTTTCTAAGATTTTTGTTGTTTGTTTTTTAATTCTACTAAACCACTCAGCCAAACAATTTGGAACCCCTACCAGATTAGTTCAGAACGTAATTTGATTGGAAAACCACCTAAAAGTCATCGATCAATTAGAACATATAAGGGATTAATTAACATTAATCAATTAGAACATCAAAATTTCACTTAAATTGATAAGGTAAAACTTAATTCAAGAGAATTTTTTTGTGTGTGTTGTATATAATACAAAGGTTTCTGTCTTACTTAACTATAATGTAATTGAGGGACAACAGAATTATACACTCAGTTTAAATTTAAAATGTATATATATATGTATATATATATATATAGCTGATGGTCTCATGTAAGGATAAAATTAGCAAAAACTCAATTAGATAACACTGAAAACCTTTAGGACAGAAAATTACACAAGCACCATAGTCATTTTGACTAAAAGTATTTTCTACCTTTTTTCAGTTCTTTTCTATAGTCAGAAAACATTGAGTGGAAAGCCCTGATAGTTGCTCAGGAGAAATGGAAAGAAAGTGTGATCCAGTTTGCCATCTCAACATCAAAACCACAAAGATACCAAAATAGCGTTAGGACATCAGTTGTAGTTTTAAAAAAAGTCTGTCTGCAAACAAATTGCTAGAGCTTCATTATTCACTTTCAACCAAAGCAACTTTGACCTTCTTGAAGTCTCCCAAAGTCTCCAGTGTGAGCTTCCAGCCTTGTAGCAAAATTCTAAACTAACACACAATATGCTTATGATTAAAATAAGGCCTGACAGTTCACCATACCTGCACATTTCAGGTTTCACTAAGATTTCTCACCAAGATAACAGAAACTCAGTGGCGATCAAATGACCTTTTTGCACCAGGTGAAATCAATTTTGCCATGTAAATTTCTTTCCCAGTAAAGCACAGTCCATATCACCAAAGTATGCGGTTTAGTAATAAAGTGAATAAGCCCCAAAACTTAATAGCATACAGACTGAAATCCAAGCTACCTTTTTGTTTCAAAGCTACTTAGGGAGCCACGTGCAAAGGCTGCAATGTGTATTGCAAAGGCAGCCTGTCCCATGCCTTAGACATCTGTCCCTTACCTTCTCTTAGGCAGTCAGAGCCAGGACGCCCATGTTGGAGAGGACCACCACAGCCACCACCTCCTCTACAGTTAGGGGGGAGCATTCCTCAAAAAGGAACTCATTGATAAATTTCAAAGACAGGCAGAGCAAATCAGATCCCAGCTGTAGTTAATCAGTGTCCAAACTGTGAGGAGGCTTAGGGAAAGAAGCAATGAGCGCAAGGGCTTGTTCTCAGCCTTGCCTCTGTGAATCTCAGGGGATAGGTGGGGAGGAAAGGTGGACTTCCTCTGCCAGGCTGGCACATCCCGAACTGTCTGAGCCTTTATTTTAACACTAGGAGGCCAAATGGGTGTTCCTGTGCACATGCAGATCTTATTTCCTCTACATAAGATCTCCCATACACGCTGATTTAGCTTTGTTGGAGAGGGTTCTTGGTGGGGTGGGGGGTGGGAGGGCTAGTTTGGAGGCAGAATATAGTTTTGCAAACTATTGGCTCTAAAAGAATGAAGATGAAGGAGGCAGGGAGAGTAAAAGCTGTGATTTCCAAAAACGTTAAACGAGGCAAACTACTGAGTAAACCAAACCCATTGCCGTGGAATCCATTCCAACTCACAGGGACCCGACAGGACACAGTTGAACTGCCCCATAGGATTTCCAAGGTTGTGAATCTTTAGGGAAGCAGACTGCCACATCTTTCTCCTGCAAAACTATTGAGAAACCCACCCCAATCCCAACTGCAATGGAATGCAGAAAACAGAATCTGTTTAACCCTTGCTTTTGCTCCCTCGAATATAGCAGAAACTTTGGATGTTTGGGCTGCGTTAATGGCAGTTTACCTTCTAGGCTGATAGAATTTATTTTTGCCAAGTTAATCAATGCCTTTGAGGCAAAGTTAACTTAAGGCTTCTCTGCTCCCCAACGAATTTCACGTTCCAAAATCCTGCTCTTTAGACTGAACAAAAGGAACACTATCATGCAAAATCTTTCCCAAATGGGTTGATTCATAGGCTAGTGTTTGTTTATTCACTAAAAAAGCTCAACTCTGTCAAACTCATCAGTCGAAAATAGCTAGTATCCCCCCACATCACATGGCCTCCTTGACTCAGGCAAAACATTCAGGACTTGATGCATTAAGATGACACCCTCCCTCCTCCGCAACAAGAGACAAAGCTGAGCATGCATTACAGACACCCTTGTGCACGAATGCCTATGTGTGCATTTATAATCCATGTGCTAATTAGAAACCCTGACTTCTATCCCTGGTTGGCTGAGGCTCCCCAGCGGGCTTTTTGCGCTGCGATCATTTGAGCTGTGCCAGAATAGGGATGAGGGACACATGGCAGTTATCAGGGAATCAGGGAGACCCCCACTGCAGTGACCACCCATTCTTAGCGCCAGAGCCTGCCCAGCTGTCTACAGCTCCTCACCCATCCCCACTGCGTCCCGAGGGGTTATTTGCAATGTTCTCCCCTAGCCCCCGCTACCCTTACAGCAGATAGGCAGGGGCTTTCGCACCGTCCGGCTGCAGAGACGCGCAGCCTGCCGCGGCGTTGGCGGAGATCTAGGCCAGCCTGCCTTGCTCACCCCCTCGTCCGGAGCTGGGCTGCTGGAGGCTCTCAGAGGCGCCGGGGCTCCGGGCTCGGTTCCTGCAGCGTCTCGGGGCCGGGCCCCTCCCGGCACAGGTCCTGCAGCAGCGGCTCCCCGCACCCCACTAGCCCGGTGGCAGCGGCAGCAGCTACAGCCGCACTGCCCCTCTTCATACTTCTCTGACGGCTCCTCTTGGTGCTGTTGGGAAAACGATTTTTCCCCCTGCCAGAAACAGATTTTCTACATTTCATCAGTCCACATAGACCGAGCGGAAGTAAAATGCTTACTTTTTCTGGTGGACAGCAAACGCAATTGACGCTGATTTACCCTTCAAACGGGGAGAGATTATATTACAAGCCTTTGGCAGTAATTCCGAGGTTGGGGCCAAGCTCCAGCCCCCTTCTTGTCCCCTAAACCCTACCCTAAGAGAGAAAGGGCGGGGGGTGGGGAGGGGATCATATTTAACTCCAGGGTTTTTAACACAGTCAGTGGCTTTAGCACAATATTAAAATTGGGTGTTGGGAAAGTTCTGCTTTCCTGGCCAGTGATTCTGCAGACTCAGAGGCACGAGATTTCCAGTAACTTCACCCACTCTTAGTTTTAAAATTGAACAATTTGATTTCTTTGAGCAACTCTCTTTTAATATAAGATTTTGGAAGTGGCTGGGCTCACGGCTGTTTTCGCTTTACAAAAGGAAATGCAATTCCACCCTTCCTTCTCTCAGCCTCAGCTTAGCAGTATGTTGAATGTCATAAACAATTTTCTCCAACTGTTGTTTATTAGTACATGTATTCTGAGATGAAAAGTCCCTCCATGAAGTAGAGAGATGTTAAGTGTCTACTTCACCTCCAATATACATGGGACCCCTTACTGAGTGCCTTCATGGTGTCAGGGCACTACTTCATGGCATGGAGATGAAAAGCATCGCCCTTTTTTTGGCTTTGTTTTAGTGTTCATCATTTGCTTGTATATCCCCATCTAACGTATATAACGGCAGTGGCACAGATATTCTGATCCTTTTCCTGATATCATTGTTAAAACCACGAGCCACCCATACCCACAACCCTCCAGTTTCCCCCTGACCTCCCCCACAAAAAAGAGAGAGAAATGACCTGTGTATCCACAATAGCAAAGTGATGTGGAGAATTGCATAATTTTAGGTATAATTGAGAAAAGTCATGTTGCTTTTATTATTGCTTTCACCCGGAAGTGGTTATTTGCTCAAAAACAACTAGAAATTGCCTCAGTTATTTGCTGGTAGTAGCGGTCCAAACAATGAAGAAGCAGTGCAAACAGTATAAAGGGAGAAAACACTGAAAATTTTGGCGGCCTTGGACTCCGTGCTTTTTATTTTAGTTCAGTTTGGTGTGGCAACTGGCAGCTCCATATTCCTCCTCAGCTTTCTGAAGAAAGGAAAAAGACACATTCCTCATTTTAAGGAGAACCAATATTATAAAAAAGGCCTATACACGTGCTTGAATGTACATCAACAAAGCAGACAAAACAGGTTACTGATGAATTTGAGCAAATGTATCTGAATCATGCTTTTTAAAATTATTCAAAATTTAACCAGATCTGAGTATTCCTAGAACCCCAACAAAGTATTTTGAGTTTTCTGAACCTACACAATTAAGTCAAAAGCCAAACATCCGTGATAATTTTTCATGATCCAAACATCATCAGTCAATAAACATTAATTTAAGCATTCTCAGAGTATATAATAAGAGTTCAAAATTAAAGCATCTCGGATTTTGAGAGTCTTATATCCTCTTCCTGTCCAGATATAATATTCTTGTCACACTGTTCAATATTGATGTTATAAGGAGCAAAGTGTAAGGCAATATTTTTGTTTATTCAGGAACAATGCTAAACTCAGTCTGGTATATTAAGGACACTAACAAAGACATTGGAAAAGCATAGTCTTTCAAAATTACTCCCTCCTCACTCTCCTTCCTTCCTGGTATTTTAAATCCTGCATTATCTTAGATTCTCCGTCCTTTTAGCAAGAACCTAAAAGAAAAGACCAGCAGAATTAAAGAATATGCATTCTCTCCCTCTTGTATCTAAGAGTTCACACGCTCAATATCCTTTTGGTGATAACGCAAAAGAAGCAATACAAAAGATTTCTGAAGAGGCATGAAAACAGTGCTTTCATCTGATTTTTTATTCGCATTTGTAATAATTCCCATTTGATTTTTATTTTGTGTTTTTCAAAATCAATACGTCTATTTATATGTTCCAATCAGTCATTATCACAGTTGTCAAAGATAGTTTTTTGTCCAAGAATTTTCTTAGCTTGTTCTCACACTAAGCATGCTCACCTTTGGAAGTCATGGCCAACAGATTCAATTATAACCTATCTGATGTGAAGGTAAAGGAATAAATGCCTTACTTAATACGATGAAAGAGATCTAAATACATCCTTGAAATCTGACACCATTAGAAAAAAAAAGTTAAGCCAAATTTTAAGAAAACATAATTTCGTTTCCTTTTTAAGTTATCATAATTAATGGACTTTAATACTGAATATTTCTGGTTTATTATGTGTTTCAGTTATTCCAAACTTTCACCATTGTCTGGAACCTGAATTTCCCCATTCTCCAAAAAAAATTGTATAATATATATGTGTGTATATATATTTAAAATGAGCAATAAAATATTTTCTAGATTTTTCCTTCTGATCTATGGGTTAGCCTCTTGTCTTTCTCTCTCTTAATGGAAATACTATATACTCACTTATTCCAAAAAGTAGGACAAATCTTCAGCAGATGATGGAGGTTAGACAACATTTTGAAATAAAAGAAGTTAAAAATAACACAGAAAAAAACACTGGGTAAAGCAAAATGAATTTCCAAAGATGATCCAGAAATTCTTATATTTCTAAATAGTTTGAAAAAGGCAGTTAAAGACGTTAAAGGATACTCTGGGAAGCAAGTGATAATAATGATACAGAATGCAACATTAAGACATGCTAGGGTGCTGAGAAAAAGATATGAAGCAATATAATAAGTGACAACATTGATTTATGTTTTATTTAAATAACTTTTGCAATGATATAAAATATGTTTATTTTTCCCTACCTAGCATCTTGGCCCATAGAAGGCCCTCAGTAGTTATATGATGAATTAATTATTTTTTTTATAAATGTCATAATGCAAACGAAATGGATTTTATAAGTCCTAATATGGTAATTACAAAAAATGTTAGGTATAAAAAGTTATCTGAATTTCTGAAAGTTTCTGAATTTTCACACAATAAATGCTATTACTTTGTATCACAATTCATATATGAAGCTACAAAAAAAAATCAAATGAAACCAATTTCATGTGGAAAGTTCAAGGTTTCCTCTGTTTAATATGCAACTTAAATAAAATCTAATGCGTTATTCTCAATGGAGAATTTTAAACTTTATATACAGCACAACAGTAGCATAGATATTTCTTTCCTACTGTGCAAAGCTCATATTTTTTGCAAAATGTGTGTTAGGTATGAGCATATGTCTTGTAATTTTTCCACAGGGGACAGATTAAAATCATTTTATGAAATGCGGCATTTGTCTCGTCTAGTTTTAAATATCCTATGTAATATATATTGTTGTGTAAGTTTCCTTGTCTAAGTTGAAGTTGATTCTTTTGTTTTTCCTACATTAACCATTGTTTGTGGTTTGTTTCTAAATCTTTTTTGAAAGTATGCATGTCATCCCAATTGCAAGAAGCTCAAATTTAATATAAATGTTTAATTTAAAAATATTTTATTTCAATAGCCTTGTCTGTCTTTTGAACCACTGTATCTCCAGCATCTAGAATAGTGTTGGGCATACAGTAGGCACTCAATAAATAATTGTTGAAGAAACGAATGACTATTATAAATAAGCCAATCTCTTAGGAAACTTACTACTAATTGGTTATATGTTTATATATTATCTTTAAATTAGTAGCTTGGAACTCAGAATAGAAAAATAATGTTAATATAAATCATTATATTATGGTGTTTTGTTCCCAAGCTAGAAGCATTTCATCCGATAAAATGTACCTAGGGTTCACTAAAACAGATGCTCGCCTGTGTGCCAGGCTTATAAATGAGCTCAGTCTATGTCACTTGTCACTTCATTAAAAACCAAGGTTGATTTGGATTCAGCATTTAATCATAACCAATATAACATGAGTGCAATGAAAAATAATAGAAAATATAACTACTGCAGTGATTTTCAAACTCTTTTGATTGTGACCCACACTAAGAATTACATTTGGAATAGACACATAGAAACCCGCTCAGACATAGAACATGTATAAACACGTAAAACATGTTTCACGAAACTATACCTACCTTACTAAGTTAATGAACTCTGATATTTTTCTATTCTGCTTTATTGTAGTCTTTTCTATGTCAGTCAAGCGAAAAGAAATGCTACTTGAGAACTTCTAAATTCATAACACAACCCAGTTTGAAAAAATTTGACTTAAAGGAAACTAAACAACTGAACTAAGGGGAGATCAATCAAATTGGGGAGAGTGTCAGTGAACATGTGGTTTCATCATAAAGTACAAAGCGGACATGTATATACATTGTCAGTGGTAGACTTAATTGATATAATGTCACAATATCCCAAACATCGTATATCCTCACATCTCCATGTCTTTGTTCATTCCGACTAGAATGAACGTTTACCTTTTACTTTCTCCCTCTTAAGAAATCTGACTCATTATTCCAGGACCAGCTTAATTGTCATCTTCTTTGTGGTTCCTTTGATCTCCCTGACCAAATTATTGTTTATCTCTCAGTATCCAGTGCTCTGAGCACTTGTTCATTTCTTCTGTGATTCATTTATAACATAACATCACAATTCTTTGCTTGTGCATCTGTCTGTCCTAACAAACTGTGAGTCCCTAGACAACATTAACGAGGTTTTCCATCTTTGCATATCAAGGGTTTAGCACAGTATCAAATCTAAGGTTGTTGACCGACTGACCGAAGAAATAAATCACAAACCCACTGGATATCTGAAAGGGTAAAAGGGAGTGCCACTGAGTGATGGGAAGATGTAAGAAAGATGTACTGTGCCTATAAAGGAGAACTAAATAGACATCTTTCTGATGTAAAGATGGCATCAAATGTTGACTTTTCATCATTGTTGATAGCACAATTTACTTTATAAGTGAGATTTTACTGTAACATTTCTTGGCACTCTCTCTTACAGGTTGACCTTGGTCCAGTTATCTGTTTATTTTTAGGGACACTGATAATAACAGCAAATTTAGGATTACTTCGTTGAAGGATGAAGAGACCTGCTGCAAACTCCATTATTGAAACTATAGCATATTTCACAAATATGGAAT